GATCGCCCAAACTCTGCTTAGCCTGGCGACCCTGAGGGTGTCGTGCAACTGGCTACTTCTCCCGACGCTAGACCCAGCCAGGTATTCAGTCCTAATGACCCGGCAGTTCTCCCATGGGATGTGCCTTGTTGTGCCTGGGGGATTGGTCTAGCATGGTTCCTCTTCCCCTCTCCCCCTGCTCCATCGCTTGAAACTTTCCGTTCGGTAGTCGCCGTGGACACACACAACAACGTGGGCACAACGTGGACAGCGTGCGTGAACTTACACTTTGACCTCTCGCCCGTTAAAACCTGTCGCTATGAGAAGTGCCACTGGCTATCGCTCGATTGTGGCAAACTCTTAGCAGCTCGGATGGGGCCTGGTTTGTTTCTGGCAGGATCGTTTGCCTATCTTGACGGTACTACTCGAGAAGTATACGGAGTAGTCCCCACGAAATTTGGAAATTGAGCTATGCAACATTGGGGAATCGCGGATGGGGTCCAACTACCCGACTGGATCTTCCCTAATAAGCCCTCGCGCTATGAAAGTCAATGGGACTATGGAACTTTCTCGATGGCAGACTATTCCACTCTAACTTCCTAACAAAGTTGCCCTAACAACAGGTTCTCCGCAATAAAAGCATTTCTTCAGAGGAAGTTGGAAACAGAGTTTCCCTTAACGAATTATTACCAATTTGCCACCCCGGTTTATTGCGATAGACGGAGGACGGCGGGTGAAGGTCGGCACTACTGCACTCGAGTACCTTCTGTATTTATCCTCGTGAAGGCGAAAGCTTCGCCATACACTTTAGGAATAGCCTTCTCCCCACCCGTTCCACTCGTTCCAATCATTGCGATATTGGCCCGGTGAACGAGACCAAATCGTACAGTCTGGAGGGTTCTGGCGATAGCAGATCGGACTCTCGTATTCGGGATCGATTTCAAGGGCCTCAAAAATGCGGAGAAAAGGGCAGGCCTCAGCTCGTAGGTGACGAAAAAAGAGGTATAATGTTGAAAGTAGGACCCGAGCCAGCCCCCATCCTTCGAGAGGACATTATCCTGCATTAGGGCCTGTCTCCGCGATCGCAAATGCATGACCGTCTACTTTGGACGCCATACAGCCAGCCAACGCGACCACCTCGTTGGTTTCCCAGAATTCGCGCTTGGGGGTGGCTAATATTCCAAAGATTGTACAGAGTACAGTATTGTACGGGAATTCATCCTAACAAAACACTACGGAGTACGCTGTACTCCGTACATTATTGGCAACAATTATTGATACACTACTCTAACCCAAATCTGCGCCAACACGGGCCGGGAACCCGCTCTCACGAACCACCCACCGCATTACTGGGAACCGATTCCGTGGATTCGCCTCCAGGAACACTCAGGAACCGTCCAATTAGACGATACCCTACCAGATCCGGAACAAGAATCCTCGTACCTTGCAGACCCCAGCGACGCTCGTCTCACCCTCTGTCCCAGACTCCCAGTCCCTCCACTCCTCCACAGTCCACACCTGAGACGGAGGTCCGTCTACTGCGCCTGCCGCTATCTCTGGGACCAACTGGATCATCCCCTTCTTGGCACCCAAAAAATCTCCAACCAGAATGATGCGATTCCCTCACAACTCAGCCGAAACCCTATCTAGCCCAGGCCGCACTCTGGGTCGTGAGCTCTGCCGTCTGCCCCAATGATCTTGCTATGTCGCCATTCTTCTGTTACGATCGAGCATCGTGCTCCGCAGGCCCTTGTTTCATGTGAACCAGACGCGGAGAATTCCCGAGTCCACCCTCAAATGGAGATAGCCAAGACGAAGACCACGACAGTACGACCCAAATATGCCAGATCTTTAGTCCAGGTTGTACTGACTACTCGATCTCTGTTTCCTCCCCGGGAGTAGATCATTGCTCGATCATTATCTGTGCCTCCGAGTTCACACTCCATTATTGTGTGAATCTCCCGCCTATAGCGGGAATCGGGGCCTGTACCGTCCACACTGGCCATATCGCTCTCGAATATTCAATAAATATTCAGCACCGTATGGAAGAGATAAAGTATCCACCCGCACCAAAAGAAAGGGAACAAAAGGTCACCACTTAGCACCGTATCATACAGTAAGTGCATCCGCAAGCACCACCAAACACGGAGCACACAACACAGTCCTGGACTTATCTCAGTCGTGGATTGGTCTCGCTCCCGCGATCGAGATCGACGGCCCGGCTCCATCTCTGATCAGATAGTGTTCTCCAAACACGGCACAACCAAGGAAGTGGCCCTGTGCCAAATGCACCGCTGCAACGACTAGACCTGTCGGAATGCCAGATTCACTCCCCCCGTGTCCCCATGGCTAGCTGGTCGGGCGAACTAACGATTTCCACAGCGATCGTGGGTTCCTCCCATGGTCCCTACACCGTAGAATGTACGTAATGATAAGAGGTAGTGTGGTTGCTTTTTTCAGCTACGTTACAAGCGAAGATCGTGCACCCACTGTCTCCGCGGATCGAATCCGAAAATTGGTTTTGTAGATTAGGCCCAGGGCGATGAGATGATAGGGTCTGAAAAGCATGTCATTTTGGATATCTCCGAATGGAGCCGTGAACCTTTCTCTGAAGAAGCAAATGTAGGCTCCTGTATTACAGGGTTTGCCCGGTTTGGATATTTGGCTATGCGGGTCACCTAAGATTTGTAGCGCGCCTAAAGAATAACATCGAATATTTCTGTCGTGTGCTAGTAACCAATTCCACGAGCACGTTCACAGAGCACGTTCACGCAAATACGATTAAAATGAAGACCGGTTGCCCCGAAGATTCTTCTGGAAGACGCTGCCACATCGGGCGCAGTCACTAAGGGTTTTAGTGAATTGCTTCTTCCGTTTTGACTTCAATGCGCAATTCTTCAGATTCAATGCTAATCGTCCTCCCAGATAAGTGACATTTCTACACGTGCAGCACCCAGTGGATACATCTCTTGCCAGCGTGCGCCCATTGCGGCCGCGCACTGGCTGCCATCTCGTTATCGAGCCCGAGCACGAGCGGGTCTAAAAAGAAACGACGAAGAACACCCACTATCTTAGTATCTGCAAGGGGAAAAAAAAAACTCCATAAACTACTCTATTTAGCATTTCTCTTTGCTAACACGAAACGCAGCGTGCTCGTGTGCAATGCAATTATGTACAGTATTTCCAAGTCTAGTCAGCGCCAACGGCGCTACTATCAATAAAACCCATATCGCGACACTGCCAAGCTCGCCATGGGGACATCCTCCACATAGCCGACGACTAGATATTTTCGATCATAGGGCAGCCGAGCAAATACTGTTTCGGGGTACGAGATGACAGCCTTACTTCATTCTATTCCCACATCGTGGATCCAGTGACAAGTGCTCTCTCTCCGCTGAACCCTCCAGTGGATCAAGAAAGTCTACAAAGGCAAACCCCAAGAGGAAAAAAAACCTCACACTCGCACCATCGACCCAGCTCCAGACCTCTAGACCCGCGAGCCTCTTACTGTATAAGGTGAATGGCACGATCGAGCGGGCCGTTCGGCAGGGTCGGTGGACTTGGACCCGTACGGAGTACGAAATCGTAGCATCCAAGCGATGCCGGCCGAGGCGTGCCGGTGTACATGGTTATTTCTCGGCCAAACGAGAAGCTGCAATTACGGAATCGGTGCCGAAGGTTCTCTGGGTCCCCTTTGGACTTGTTTATTTTGGGCCCGCAGTGTGAAAAAAACCATCGCGGGTCCAGCTTGAAGCTGTTTATCGAATGCGTTTCATCATACGATTGCGTCAGAGGATGCTATTGTATGGTACGCTACTGAGCTCTGTGCTCCAGTCCGAGCTTGCTTCGACACAGATGAGTTTGCAAATATGGAGCTTGAGCTTTGGCGGAACTCATTATGGCCATGTTGCGTGGTTGTTTGGCAGCACGTGGGTTAAGGATTGCTCCATAACAGGCAATCTGCGGCTCTCACGATGATCAGGCCAAGGGTTGCTTACGTTGTGTGCGTAATCTACATTCAGTGCTGTCTAGCAGAATGCAGTATAGACTATGCGTACATAGCCATTAACTTTAAGATGAGCCCGGAAGGAAAACTCTGATATCTGATTCCGCCTAGCTGGACAGCTTCCAGCTCTGATTGACTAACTCGACAGAACCGATGCTCTCCAGAACGACAGCAAGGATGATTATATGAAATGGCCTCAGTGGATGGTTTATTGTAAGATCACGCTCCCAGTGGGAGTCAGTCTCTTCCTATCATATATTCCATTATCCTCATCATCAGCCAAAAATAATATATGAGGAAGAAAAAAAAGAAGAGAAGCTCGTCCCTTGCAGAAAAAAAAAATGTTCCCACCGCAAACTGCTTACCTAATACGCGAGGTCTGTATAGACACCTCAGGCAGTCAGGCGCCAAGGCAACCGAAGCTAACTCACAACCGAGAAACACCGGAACAAGTATTCTTCCGGACAGCATCCACCGGCGGCCATAAATTCTTCGCTCGCGAGACTTCCTTCCTCTTTCTTTTTTTTCTTCTTCGTGCGGCGGCGCAGCTTCAAATTTAATACCTACCCGTGTTGCTTGGACGTCCACGGCTCTTGTCAAAGGGGCCTTCAGTGATGTTACCAGGTGTCGGTTGCGCCACAGACGAACGGAATTGCACACCGGTTCTTACTTTATGGGTCTTTCTGATTTTTCAAGGATGAGACCTTTTGGTTTGGGATCGGACATTACTATTTTCTATACCCTCAAATGTGATGGGCTTTTTAGAGTAGCAGATATTTCAAGCAATGCAAAGATTTGAGCAAGATTTTTTTTGGGAGCTTTTGTCTCGTCCACTGTAGCATTTTCTATCTGTCGTAGCGTGTGGTTCCTTGAGCTTGAGACGCTCAATTTCCCCGTGCGCCTTGGTATGTCTCGTCAGGTCTTTCGTTGATCGCTCTCGTAAAAGTTCTACCATGCCAAAGTCTCTCGAACAAACACAAAATGTAGTCCTATCCAGCCAATGTCTACCAGATTTTTACTCGCCAGGCTCGTCACCAATCTTCTCCAACTTGCCCATGGCCCTCTTCTCGCCCGCATCGCCAATGATGCGAATGCGATCCACGCGCAGCTTCTCGCTCTCTCCGTCGCCGTCCACGAAGAAGATAACGAGAGAGGTGACGTTCTGGAACTTGACGAACCGCAAGTCAACGGTGGCAGTCCCCGTCTTTGCGTCCCACTGCTCTGGCTTGATCTCGATCGTCTGCTCCGGGTTCGTGTCCTCCGCCTGCTCGAAGCCAAGCACATGCGATGTGTTGGTGTAAAGCTTCAGGGTGCGCGGCCGCATGGGCAGCTCGTCATCGTCGTCGTCTTCGCCGGCAGCAGGTGGGAGGGATGTCACATGAAGGGAGTGCACCTTGAGCTTCGACTGGAAGGGGATGTACAGCATCAGCTGCTCGTCCGTGTCGCTCTCGACCCAATCGGCACCACTGCTGCTGCCCTCGGCCTTGGCCTTGCCCTTGCCAGCCAGAGCTGAAGGCTTGGAGGTGTCGAACAACACGCGCGGCTCTCCGAACTGGTTGTCCCGGTTAAGCAGATCCAATCCCTTGGTGTCAACTTCGTCCGTCACGTCGGTGTATCGCGCAGCCACCTCGGCGCCCAGCCAAGTCGCACCGCTTCCCTCGCCAGATCCGCCATCGGACTTGGTAGCTTCCGATGCGAGTCTCCGGATCACGTCGGTAAGTTTCTGGGGATCGGCACCGGCGACGGTCTTGATGCTGCGGCCGTTCTCGAACACGACGAAGGTCGGGTAACTGCAGCGCATCGGGCAAGTGTCAGTCAGGTCTCATTCGTAGTGTATAGTTCTCGTAATCTCTCCTAGGTCATAGGGTAGTTGTATAATTCCACGTACGCTCGAACGCTGTAAGCCTGCGCAAGCTCTGTCTGTTGGTCACCGTTGACCTTGGTGAATGTGATGTGGTTTGGGCGAGACAGCTGCGATGCGAGCTTTTCGTAGACGGGGGCAATAGCTTTGCAGGGACCACACCAGTCGGCATAGACTACATTCCACACGCAGGATGTCAGTCAGTGTTTTGCTTTTTTATGGGTTCCAACTCGGAAGGTGGTCATTTCGAGGTGAAAGCGGGGTGCTGGGAAGATCGCGAACTCAACCACGGGAGCATCACCACTTACAGTCGGCGACCACAAAGCGTGAGGAGCTCAGCAGCGAGCTGAACTGTTCGGTTGAGGATATGTTGATGACGGACATGGTGGGAGGTTGGGGGGGTTGTAGAGAGAGAAAAGAGATGGCGGGGAGTCGGAGGAGGTTGTTTTGCCCGGTTTCTCAAATATGTCATCCGCCCCTCGATCAATACGGCGGAGGCCATATCATCAATCCCAGGAACAATAGTCTTGTTATTAATCTGGTCATGCTACTTATGAGAGTGGTTTTATCAATTCTTGAGCGTCTACTCTGTGTCTAGGATTCCCTTGCCTATTTTGTTTAGCCACCTGATCCGGTCTGTACAGAGGCATCGGTGAAATATATATCAACGGTTCTGTGACAACAGCTCTCCACAGAAAGTAACCCTATCCAGAGGTAGCGCCTCAGGGCTCCAATGGAAGTTTATCGTTGATTACAAGGTTACCTACACCTTTATGAGAAGCTGAAGAGATCATTCTTAGGATATCCAAGCCGGTATGCAGCCTAGTATCTTAATCTTGTATTCTGTTGATCGAGGTCTTTAGGCATTTCAACCTTAGTGGATTCAAAGAGCTCCAGCTAAGGTTGCTGTGCCTCTGCTATATTGAGTAAGTCTAATAGGACATAGGAACGACAGACATTGAAAGTCTCTATCGGTACATATTCTCGTGCATGACTTGGCAGGAGAAAGATATTGGGCTTTCCAAGTGCTGTCCTAGAATGCCATGTAAATATGGCTGGGCGACCAACATCGCTGCGCCATCTCCACCGGCAGAGAAAGCCGGAAGCTAATAGCATATCTGAGACTGAGGGATAGAATCACGATCATGACAGGAATTGTGTCTGTTGAGCTAAAGGCCCAACCCCTAGATTGGGGAAGCCGGAGAGGCTGTAGTTCTGGCAGGCTTTCCCGATCGGATCTCCTCATTCATCCTCAGGCGTGAGGGTGATGAGTGCAGACTTGAAGTGAAAAGTCTCGGACCCAAGGAGGTGATGGCTCTGCCTAGGGAGAAAAGATGTCATATCAAGATGTTTGCAAACGGGCGCATCTCAAGCATCCCTCTCATCCATCATCCTCAACGGCGAAAAGCACCTTCAGCCAAAGACTGCACCCACGACATCCAATAACGATCTCACCATGATCTGCCTCCCTCTCGAGATCATCCTCCGTCACCAGAAATCCTCTCTCATCACCACACCGACAGCCACGGTACCAGCAGGCCCCGCGCTCGCCATCCTCATCACACTCAAGATCCTCCAGATCCACAATCTCCAGCCCAGTATGAAAGACGTCGCCAGTCTTTTCCCGCTCCGCGACCTTCAACCGGTCCAGTCGCAGGGTGCGGTCATATTCTGCGCGCAGCGCCGGGTCACTCAGCGTCTTGTACGCGGTGGTGATCTCATCAATGGTATACGCCCGCTGGCCCGCAGCTTGATCGCCCGATCGCGAGAAGACCCCGTTGCGGGAGTCTGCTCCGTTTATTCCTGCATCCTGTGCGACGGCGCCTGCTTTGTCGGGGTGGTGTTTGAGGAGGGCCTTGTGATACGCGAGTTTGATCTGCTGCTTCGACAGGGTGGCCGATGAGGTTGTGAAGGGGATGCTGAGGATCTGGTAGTAATCGGTGAGAGTGGGGATTGTCCTCGTCATTGTCAAGACGGTCTCGTGTGTGTTCTCGTGCCTTGTTGACTTGAATGTCACGGATCGTCGTGCGCGATGCAGGGCTGGCGGCCTGTCGGAGACGTATGCGAATGTTGGACGCTGGTCGCAAAGCTGACCAAAGTGATCCGAGCAGGAACGAAAAAGATCACCGAAGCCGCCGGGTGTAGGAGAGGTGAGTCAAGGACTTGGCGAGGCGCGTGAAGAAATCAAAAATGGCGGGGAACAAAAAGATTCGCCGAGAAAAAGTTGCCGGATGACATTGCATCCCCCCATGACGACATTAGAAGATGCTGCACAGAAATCAGATTAGATCTCATTTTCTAGAAGAAAAATGGAGAACCATTATGCATCATTTTATAATCTAACATTTGATCTACTAGATTATTGGGAAGTGTAAAGCACTTTGTACCTGCAGCTCGCTCCCGCGCCCCTCTCGTTGTCTCTTCCAGCCCCCCATTGTCACATTCTTCAGTATATCTCACGGTGATTCTGTACTCTTCTTTGCTGAAGTAAATGAGAATGGCATGAGCCAAAATCCAGAGCTATGACATAGATCCAACACAGATGAAGAATCGATTGATTGGAACTCCAGCCATCTGACCTGGATCTAGGCTTCGAGATATTAGCGCGCTCCGTACACGGCCTCCTTTATTCTACGCCCCATTCCTCAGTGATGTTATACGACGACACTTCGAATTAGAACATGGCCGAGAAAGAAAAAGAAAGGCAAAGACAGCTTTCAGCCTCCATCACTTCCTGCTACATGCCCACGATCACTTTCGGCCACGCTTCTATCACCTCACGCAACGGCCAATAGGGCTTTCTTCCAACGACTACCAGAAGAGATCCGTCGTTCTAATATTGATTGAAGGTTTTGGCGGACACACTTTACATTTTGACCTCCAGTTCGAATATCCTGTTAAGAAAAGTCGAAAGGGATCATCTACCATCATCGTCACGCCAACATCCCGCCATTAGAAGAGCGTGACACAACGAGACCGTGACAGTGGCAAGGGCGCAGTAGTGTCTGCCATAGAATGCCATTCTCTTGAACAGATCCTCCAGGATCAATACCAGTCATATGGGCTCCGTTCTCGGACAAGTGCCAGTCGGGATTCCCAACTCATTGCGATCTATGGGCTGGCCAAGTCCCCGATAAATGCTTCATAGGGGCTACGGGCTGGCTGTTGGCATGTCGAAAGTCCTACTTGGAAGGCATTGGTGTGCTTAACAAGACAAACTGCCTTCACATTAAAGGGGTTTCTCTGCTGTACAAGTTGCCTAGCCTCCTTCCTCAAGCGCGGCTAAATTACATAACTGCCGTCGACCTTCCCTGGGACTTAGACCCCCAGAAAGCTGCTCGAAAGGAATTTCTCAGGGGCGTGATTATTCAACAGCCATCATCGATCTATCGTCCATGATGGGGAGTCTCACTACAACGCTGCCAAACTTTTCGCGCATGTAACTCTCCCTCCGAGGACCAATGCTTGTTCCGGGTTTCTCAAGCCAGGAATTGTTCGAGACTACTGAGGGACTACTTGAAGATATAGATTTTTCATTGGACCAACTTCATGGCCTTATCGATTGCAGAATTGCTATTCCATCTAGCTCATATATTGTCCGCAAGCAGGGGGCGCAAGAGTGTCATGATACACAGTCGCATCGTGAGGCCTGGGTCGAGCAGGGAGGAGCCATACGGAGAACACGATGGCCAAGTGTCAGACATAAACAAGCGCAGAAAGATACCATGCTTGACTACCGGATATGTGAAGGCTTGCGAGACTTGGATTCGGGTCTGATACGTGAATGTACTTGATATTGGGAATAGATAATAACAAAAAGATGCCCAGAAATCCTCCATTCGAGAAATGGTTTCAGAATCATCAATCATAGTGGATGCATTGATTTGAACAAGAAGAGCCCAGAAGAATTTCTTCCTGCGTGCCGAGGCACCACTGAAATGTTCTCGGGGATACCGGGGCAAGGTAGGAATCGAAAAATGGGGAAGTGGGGATTCAGCAAATTGCTGCTGTTGTTCCCAACTTCCCCGCAGAAATTGGACTTTGAGGATACGATAGCCGAGAGATCCGACAGGTCTACGTTGAACTACAAATTGTCTGGAACAAACCTTGTTAAATGTAAATTATAACAATGTTGGTAGAGGAGAAGTAGAAATGCCAAATAGGGTGGAGGCACGAAGACGGTGTAGAGTGGCAATAGCCCGACCGGTTAATGCCACTATTCCCTGCGAAATCATGAATCGATGTGCTACGTGCTCCCTAGTTCCTGCATACTCCGGTGACGATAGCAGGCAGTCCGGAGGTGTACCACAACAAAACTCCCATTCAATTGCATTCTTTTTGGTTTCTTCAACACTCTTGAAGTCTCGCTATGCCAGATGCATATAATGCTATAGATGCATCCGCAAATGCCAGCAGGCCATTGGGCCGCAAAAGGAAGCGAGTTTCGGTAGCTTGCCGACCATGCCGGTCTCGAAAATCTCGTGTATGTAGAACCCAAATCCAGCTCTTCTGCACAGGCTCGGTTGAATCCCCAATACTATTTGACATGGTATTCGTAGACTGACGTTTGAAACGAACGCAGTGCAATGGCGCGAATCCGTGCTCGACGTGCGAGGAGATGGAAGTTCATTGCCAGTATGATTTGCCCTGCACGACTAAAACTACACCCGAGATTAGGGAAGCTCCAGTTGATATTCGGTATGTTGGTTCATCCATTGTTCACCGTCGACACTTCATTCATTCCATCCTAACCGGTTAGAAATGACCGAACTACTGCCCTGGAGCAGCGCCTTCAAGATATTGAGCGCAGACTGGCATCCCTAGAAGATCCCCGGTTACCAAATAATAATAATCAAACTTCCGACTCCCTCCAGTATGGGTCACACGAATTGAGGCAAAGATCAAAGGCTATGCGCAGAGGTTCCTGGAGTACCGAGCAGGAGACACCGTCAACTGCTCCTGTACTCAGTATTTCGAGAATCTCCGACCAATCCGATGGTGTCGATGGAATGGGCTCCGTTGCACTGCGAGAAGGTGTTGAGGAAGATGAATACTTCGGTATGTTCTTGCATATCAGATCGACCCGAAGCTCTCGGCTTCTGGATAACGTGCTGATCGGCTGCAGGCAACTCATCCAATGTGGCTTTCTTACGTTCAATCGTTCAGGCAACTGTTCACTCAGCGGGACTTGGGCCTAAGACATTACTAGAGCCGGGAATCACCGGCTCAGAAAACCCCGGCCATAACGATTCAAATTCATTCCTCATGTGGCCTTTTCGTACCGATCAATCAGGCAACGCATCGCGGCGTACCCCGATTGATCCTTTCGCGCTTCCTCCCAAATATACGGCAGATGATTTGCTTCACTTGTACTTTAACACCGTCAACCTTATGATCCCTTGTATTCACGAGGCTTCATTTCGACAAACCCTATTCCGGATGAGGACCGAGGGACCTGAAAATATCAGAAGATCGTGGCTCGGCGTTTTGAACATGATGTTTGCTATCACTACGAATGTGATGACTCCGACTTCGCCTACGCAAGATCGAGCGCAACAGTCAAATACATTCTACGAGAGGGCTATGGAGCTAGTCAGCCCAGGCATTTTGGGGCGACCTTCAGTTGAAATGGGTATGTATGGACGGAGACTCCTTGTTATACATTCGAAAAACTAATGAAGTCAGTGCAATTATTCCTTCTTATGGTAATTTACCTTGAAGGTACTCCTGCATCTTCGCTAGCATGGACGTTTCACAGTCTCGCTGTTAAGGGGTCCTATCAATTGGGACTTCACTTGTCCGGATCGTCGCGTCTCTCGCAGGTTGAAAGGGAATGTCGACGGAGATTGTGGTACTGGTGCATAACAAATGATCGGTACTGTCTCCTCAAGTATTATGACTGATGCCCCGAAACTGACAGCATCTTAGTTTATTGAGTGTCGGATACGGTCGTCCTCCCCTGATTCCATTGTCCCACGTGAAGATAGAGCCCTGCGCTCGTCTTGCTTTTAGTAATGTGGCTGATGAAGTCGTTGCTTCATCCTCTACATACTTTGACTCGATGATGTAGGTACAAAGTATGAATGGTTCCACAGCAACAACCTGGCTGACACGCTGTAGCTCTATTACACACATAATGGGTGACACGATAGATCGACTTTATGGGCAAAATTTGGGATCCATTGCCTCGGCCTACACGAGCGAAACCCTTAGTCAAGTTTCAGACTTGTTATCAAAACTCGACCAATGGCAGGAACAGCTTCCACGACACTTGAAGGCTATAGATCCCTCAGAGGATATGCTAGAAAGCGCGTCAGCCAGTCTCGAAACAACACGCCTGAGAGTACTCCTATCGTTCCGTTATCTTGGAGCGAGAATCCTGGTTCTGCGGGCAATTCTGACTCATTTCTTTCCTCCATCTGGCAAGAAAAGTTCCAATGAGCATCTATCGGAATGGCTCCTGGACTCTAGCTTTCCCCTCATTGCTGATCTTGTGCGGACATGTCTCCGCGTGTTCCAAATAAGCACTGATCTTCTCACGGCATCAACGAATAATCAAAACCTTCTTGGCGCATGGTGGTTTTCCTGTTATTACAGTATGCTCTTCATTTTCTCATGCCAGGATTTACTCGAGTGGCGTCAAAACTGACAAGATATAGCTTTCAACGCCTCTCTTGTGATATTGGGCGTTTTATTCATCCAGCAGAACCCGCTATACTCCATGAGGCTTCGAGATTCCGATGATCTAAGACCATCTCTCGATACTGCTATGTCGATTCTTCGAGGGCTGGATAGCGGCAATAGCACAATCATGCGATGCCGAGATATTCTCGCAAGATTGATCACTAACATTGATACAAGAGGTGTGCTTAAATCTGACCTACAGTAAAAGGAAAAGAATATAGCGGCTAACAGTATCTAACAGCAAATGCCGCCGAGCTAGCCTCCCCTGCAATTTCAGGGTCACCATCGAGTGAGTGGGCATGGCAACTCATGGACTCGACCCTGTTCAATTCCGATGCTTCTTTGGGCTTTGCCCCGGCAATTCCTAATGATACCGCTTCTTTCTTTCTTCCATCGAACTTTTAGCAGCTGATGACTCGACCCTATTGACCTCGACTACTCGGTCGTTTGATCATGCGTCCTCTCGTTTACACCTGCATAGATTGCTCTGCAGGTTTGATGGTTCTTTCCAGGACCGACGCTGTTCTTTGTCTTGTAGACCTATTTAGGTCTTTCTCTTCTTCTTTGCCTTCTTCTTCTCTAGATCATCTTCATCATAGTCTAGATAGAGACATTGACTCAGATTCCCCCTTCTTTTCTGCTTCCTCTACGTAGGTGTCGATGAAACCATCAGCAGCGATGCCTGGATGAGCGTTTATTCGATGAAATTTCAATTCAATCTTCAATAATGATTTACGGGTCCACATCGACCGAATGTTACAAATCAATCGATTGAATTTGCTATATGCGCCTATATACACAGGATTTTGTCCGCCGGGTGGGGCTTTCCTGTTTGGGCTGCCGCCGCTTTAATGAGGGCGATCAGGCTCAGGCTCACTGAGTAAACGTCAGCACATGCTCATGCTCAGTGATCTCGTCAGTTTAGTCATGTGATCGCTCGGTGGCCAATCATGAATAGTTAGTTAACTAACTAACGTAATTCCCGGCCGATCTGGCCACCCGGCCGTCCTGGCCACCCCATCCAAAATCGCGTCTTTCCATCAACCTACCTAATTTAACCAACTACCATGCCACCAATTCGCGCTGAATCTTCGCAGAAATCTACCAATCAAGAGGGCAAGATCCTATTAGCGCTTTCCGATTTAAAAGATGGCCGCGTCAAATCTATCCGCGCAGCGGCTATCCTATACGCAGTACCACGGTCAACACTACAGACGCGTCTTCATGGCCAACTACCTCGCGTTGATATACGCCTAACAGGCCATAAATTGACCCAATTAGAAGAGGATTCACTTACTGAATGGATACTCTCTATGGATTCGCGTGGAGCAGCGCCTAGGCCTGCTACCGTACGAGATATGGCTAATATCCTACTGGCTGCGCGTGGTAACTAGCCACTAACTACCGTTGGAAAGAATTAGCTATTAACCTTCATCAACCGCCGCCCTGAGCTTCGTACACGCTTCTCGCGAAGATACGATTACTAAAGAGCCCTAAACGAAGATCCGAAATCGATTCGGCAGTGGTTCGCGACCGTATAAAGTGTGATTGACGAGAACGGTATACAACCAGAGGATATCTACAACTTTGATGAGATAGGCTTTGTAATGGGCCTTATATCTTCGCAGAAAGTAGTCACAAGGGCTGAATACTACGGTCGGAGATCTCTTCTATAACTAGGAAATCGTGAATAGGTTACTGCGATCGAAGCAATCTGCTTAGATAGCTATTCGCTACCGCTATGTATTATCTTTAAAGGTAAAGTAGCTATTAAAGGATAGTTTAACGAAAACCTACCGAAAGACTAGCGAATCGAGGTCTCAAAGAATGGCTAGACTACCGATGAGATTAGTCTACGCTAGTTACAAAAGCACTTTATCCTATATACGAATTCGCGTGTACGTAGGCGATTTCGACTATTGATTCTTGATAGCCATAGTAGCCATCTTATACCCTAATTCGACTAAACCTGCACAGAAAACGATATTATACCTCTTTATATGCCTACGTATTCATCGTATCTATTACAACCACTAGATATTAGGTGTTTTACAGTGGTTAAGCGCGCGTACGGTCGCTTCGTTAGTGATCTTGCGCGTAGAGGATATAACTATATCGATAAGCACGATTTCTTAGTGGATTACTAGCGCGCACGGCTCGAAGCGTTCTAATTAACTAATCCTACTATTAAACATAACTTCGTAGCTAGTGGTTTAGTACCATTAGACCCCGAGAGAGTGCTTAACAAGCTTAATATCTCTCTACGTACTCCGTCGCCACTAAGTAGCCGGCTAATTAGCAGATGTCGGACTCTAGGCGGTGACCATAAAGTCGTGGTTATACACACAAGACGATAGTGTGCATAAGGATTGGTAAATACTCAATATAGTGTCTGAATACACGGTTATGAGTCTATCGGTCGTGCGCACTTCTATGAAGGAGAAGTACCACGATTATGGAAGAGTACCACTGATCTAGAAGAGAGATCACAAAGGATGATAAACTTAATTCAATTTAACTAGGTAACATAGCAGTATTTATATCACAAGAAACATAGCAAAAGGTCACATGATAAATCAACAGAATCAGAGTGTTGAGAGTCTCTTGCTTAGGTAGGCAATCATATGCGAGATCGTTGAGGATCAATCTGTTAGATCTTTATAGAAGAAGATCTATATGTAGAGAGGGGTTATATGAGTGGGTCCTTCATCATGTGACCCCACAACATCCACATGTTGACACACCCCCTCAGTTCTCGATGTGTGATAAGAATAAGAGCAAAGTGAGAACTGAATGAGAGAAGAGAGAATGACTAGCTAGGAGGTGGTATCTCCATGCCCAGTTGTTTGATGAATTCGACATGCTTCTGCCTAGGTAGGCACTTAGTAAGACCGTCTGCGGGCATGTCGGTGGTTTTGACCCATTGGACAGATAGGCGCTTTGCCTGCACCTCTTGACGAATCCATAGGCGGTTGATATCCACGTGACGAAGTTTGGTCTGAAAGACTGATTTCTCGCGATTTAATAGGTCAACGGTTTGCTTGTTATCGCAATTCAACACTTCTTGCTGTTCAGTGTTGAATTCGATGAATTCGAATAGGCGTTTAACCCAGTATAGCTGCTTAGCTGCGTGTGAGACAGCTAGCAATTCAGCCTCTGTGGTAGATGTGGTGATCGTCTTCTGCCTGCGAGATTTCCACTCGATTGGACCACCAAACAATGAGAAGATGAAACCTTCTGATGACTTCCTATCAAGATGATCGGCAAAGCTTGCATCGGACGAAGCAGTGAAGATCTGGCAATCTGATTGGCTGCCACCAAAGCAGATAGCTAGGTCTTTCGTCCCGTATAGGTAGGAAATCAGGTGGTCAACAGCAGCTAGGTGCTTCTCATCGCAGCGTGTGAGAGATTTAGCTAGTAGCTGATTGGCGAAAGCGGTGTCTGGTCTAGTCCACACAGCAGGGAAAAGGGTCGAACCACACTTCTGCTGGTATAGTTTAACGGTTGATTGGTTGATTTGACCAGTGATCGGATCAAGACGTTGATTGCTGACTAGTGGTGTATTAGGCGGTTTCCTGCCTAGGAGGTTAAATTTAGCAGCGATCTTCTCAATGTAGGCTGATTGGTTTAGCCAGGTCTTTCGTCGCTGTCGGTCGCGTATAATTCGAATACCGATGAATTGGGTAAGTTCACCACAGTCCTTCATCTCAAAGCGCTGTGAGAGAAGTTGCTTTATCTGGTGAGCGTGTAATCTCTCACTTCGATGGTAGGCGGCCAGGAAATCGTCAACAAACACCATAATAACCATGCGATTATCAGTGTAAAGCGCAGGGTCTTCAGGACAGCTTTTGAAGCCTAGTGAGAGAAGCATCTCTTTCACGTCGTCTTCCCATCTCTTACCAGCGATTCGAAGACCATATACTGCCTTATGTAGGCGTAGGACCATTGACTTTCGTCCTAGTCCTGGTGGGTATCGGCAGTACACTTCCTCTTTGAGATCACTGTTTAGGAAAGCGTTGACGGCATCCATCTGAAAGGTCTCTAGGTCAAAATGCGTGATGATTGCTATAAGCGTGCGAAAGGTCCTAGCAGCAAGCGTACTAGTACGTGGGTCTTCTAGTTCGTCTGGTGTCTGTGTATCTCCGCGTACGCATAGACGCGCTTTGAAGCGTGTGAGGTAT